ATTACGCATGCTTTGAATGAATCTTTTTGGTGAACTTCTGCAAGGTGAAGTAGGTTCACTAAAAAACCCAATTATGACTCCTGATTGGTGATTCGGGAGGATTCTGAACAGTCCTCTTGCAGAGTTGGACGGATTACAAGCTTCGCTGGAATCCCGACGACTACGGTGGAGTTGACGTTCTCTACGTGCCTTCGGACACGATCTGGTTACCAGATATCGTCCTTTACAACAAGTTTGTCCATTTATTCTCCACTATTTTTCTATTTCTTGAAATGATTACCATACTGTATTCACTTGGTCTCACTGAACCCAATTCGGAGCGATTCGTCCAAACGGCAGCGTTTTCCCTCCGCTGTTGTCGGCGCAATGTGGCTCGGGGGGGGGAGGTCGTCGCGGCCTGCGGCATGGTCGCGTACTTCAGTGGCGGAGCGGGAAATCAGTGGGAGTGTAGCCAGTTTGGGGAGGGGTGAGGCGAATCTCATCACATGTGTGAGGAGCTGGAATTTCAAATTCACACTGTTTCGCTGAGAGTGCGTGGACATACCGCTGCGGCGGTGGCTGGCTCCCCCGAGCCACATTGCGCCCTGTTGGACCGTTTAGCTCGGTACCTGACAGGAGGCCCGTCGCGCGGCAAGAAGGCAGAGTCAGCGGACGAGTCGCAGCGCGTACTGTAGTGATTTCGCGTCAAGTTAAATAGAATGTCCATTGTACGTCCTACATCGCATCACGCGCTGCGACTCGTCCGCTGACTCTGCCTTCTTGCCGCGCGACGGGCCTCCTGTCGGGTACCCGTACTAGTTTGTGGCGAGGACAAGCCTTTGGCAAGTTTTCACTTAGTTGGGGACCGGTAGACGGCAATAAAGGCAAAAGTCGGGCTCAATAAGGGTATCGTGACGATGAAAACGAGTAAAGCGATTGCTAAAAGTGGATGACAGTGGATAAAACCGTCGAAAAGCCTTAAGAGGTGCGGGGTGGCGCTGGGAGGAACCCTCTTTCCCACTCACTAGCAGTGAAGGAGGCTGGCTTGGGAAAGAGGCACGTACAAACAAGTTTTCTGGAGATGTCAGTCGTTCTATCGGTTGATACGGCAATCAACCTAGCTGATTTCACACGTTATGCCAGCCACGCACCACTTCCGGAGGTGGGCGGTCCTGGATTGACCAGGCGGCCCTGGATTGAAACCGAACGCCCCGGGGCCTTAACGGGGTTTTTCAAGGTGGGAAGTTGCTGCAATGTGTGCAGCTACCCACATACAACCTCCAGGCACGGGAATTACTTCTCTAGCGTGCCTGAGCCCGACCTTTGCCTTTAAGTAGCAGAGCGGACGCTTGTTCCTGTTTGTCCATTCACTATAAAGGCCGCTAACTGTCCATCAAGGACTTCACAGCACTCGTCAGGCCAACTTGGTTGCATGCGTATTCCAAAAAGACCAGTCAACATTGAGAAGTGCCACTCCTTTCCGCACGCTGCTTCATGAGTACTCTTAATTTTTTAGTGCCGACGGAAACTATCAAGTCACCATCATGACCAAGGCCAAACTGTCCTATAATGGTACCGTCGAATGGGCTCCGCCGGCAATTTACAAGAGGTTTGTAAATTCCATTCCGAGATTTTTTATCGTTGAAATGTTTTGTTTTTTAGTATGTGTCAAATAGACGTCGAGTTTTTTCCATTCGATCGACAGCAATGTGAAATGAAATTTGGTTGGTGAAACGGCTTTTCTTTTCTTTCATTTGCCACCTGTGCTCACTATTGCTCAAGCAAAATGCATGAATTCGGGCTCATATCGTTCTGCCTATCACTATCCAAAGCATGCTCACCTTCCTTCAATAGTCTGATAAGGTTGGCTTATAGACCACCCCCAACCCTATGACTTTTGGACTTGTTCTCCCCAACTTTAGACGTATCTCCAGTTCAAAACTCTTCATATTTTCCGTCTTAGCGCCTGCCGAAGAATGGACTTATGAATTTCATGAGCTCATCCGGAGTTGCATGAAATAAACAAAAACTGTGTGGGCGGTATCCCCACAAAGTTGAGAACGGTTGGAACTATTGGATTACGCTTCTGCTCAAGTGATGCCCGTTATTCAGAGTCGAAAAAATTGTTCTCGGAAGCTCAAAGCAATGGTAAAAGGCTGTTTAAATTTGCCCGGCGGAAATTACCGTTCGTGAAAAAAAAATACAAGTTTATTAAGCCGTCGGGGTCGCTCTTTGTTGCCACGCGGGTCTTGGGTTGGTAGGTACCTCAAACTTGGGTAATTAAACTTTTATTACATATTTTACATTATATACAATACCTAAAGAAGAAGGAAAAACGACTGAATCTATGGAAATCTGTCGGGCTTATATTCAGTGGATAATGGGCGGAGCAAGCTATATGTATACATTCCACAATACTGATCAGCCAGCAGATAATGATTTCTTCAGTTACAGAATGAATCACGGTACAAAGTACACTAAAAAGACACCAATAAGTAAGGAATCGACCATGATAATAAAATACAATCACGCCAAAATAATCTAAGATCATAGAGAGTCGCTTATATTTTGTGTTCCCCTGGATCGAGTGCCCTTATTTGGCCGCCATTTTTGCCTAGCAGTGTTCCAGTACATTCGATCTTTCAAACTCGAACCTACTACCACCGTAATGGCCTCTACAATTTTATCGTCTTTCGGCCCTAGCACCCTGGAGCGCTTATATTCAACGCAAGATTTCCGGGAGGGCTAGATTCATTCTAAAGTAGCGATTTGACCCATATTGAACTTTTATATTGAACAACCTTCAAAACATCGATATGGAGAGGGATGACGTAAAGGCTTAGGTGTCGACGATTCTCTCTGTAAAAAATCACTCTATATTTGTACGAACTTTGATTTTTTCGATCCAACACAGAACCCTCAATAGGTCTCGATTAGGGTTTTCGCACGCCGTAAACCCCACCCGTCACTCAGAGGAGCCCAGAAAAACCGTTGATGACTGGAGCAGGAAGCCCTTGCCAGCTACGAGTTCTTCTCATAAAGGGATAGAGCTTACGGTTTCAAGCGTTTGTCGATTTGAGGATCAGTCCAGAAGCAGCATTGGCCTTTTTTTGTTGATAAACAATTCATAGCGTCTTGACATACGTGGTCCTCGAAGTAACTTAATTCACCAAAGATGAACATCTTCAAGAAGAGTCCATCGAGATTGTCGAAGGCGTTGATGGACCTATTCAAGAATCTGTTTGGATAGTTGATGAAGGTAAGTCGCAGTGTTTTTTTTTTCTCTTGATCAGAACTTTATTTGTTCAGCATCATATTACTAAGTTAATTACCTGAAAATTCCGTCGTGGCTACGTTTTTATAGTAATCCTGTTATTTATTCAACTGAAATGAAAACCAAAGCTGAGAAGGGAGCAGAAACACTCAAATCTCGCTTTCGAGTTCTTGGGTTGTGCCGAGGGCGGCTCATTACTTCAAACTTGTGGCAACTCGAGACCTTTTCCACTTTTCCCGAATATTTTCTGTGAATTTTTGGTATTCTTCGTTTGAGCTGTTCGTGGAGATTTGGATTGTTCGAATTGTTTATTCCGAAAGGCTTGTATTTTTAATTTCTGGTGGAATTATAATAATTGTATAGATGTGTGGTGGCAAGTGGCGCTGCTTACCTACGCGCACAGCCCGGGATCAAATCCTATCGTGCGTCGCCCAGGGTAACCAAGCCTTCCATCCCTCCGGGGCTCGCTTAATTGGTACCAGATTTGTTTGAGGGATGTTCTCATCGACTGACCTACAAGTCATTGTATAGGCCAAATCTGATTCAACTTGCCGCTATGATTCTTGATGGCTAAGTAGAAGCATGGCGCATCTAACATCGATCCATTATCAGA